TGAAGGCATGCGAAACTCGAATTCGTTTTTTGAGAAGCCCCCCCCCCCCCCCCCCTCCCCCTCTCCCCCTCTCACCCAAGTCGAGAAAGCTGTGGGCGTCTGGCGGACCCAGATGTATTTGCCAAATTCCGAAAGACACGAAATTCCGAAATAGGGGACCGCGAAGTCCGTGAGCCTTGACGACGCCTGTCTCGAATTTGCCCTCAGGTTCAGTCTTCACCTGTGGAGGCGCTGCCCAGCAAAATGTCGGCACACCGCATTGGTTCGGAGGGAATCGAGCGATTAAAACAAAATCAAGACTGTTTTTAAACGGTCGACCCTTTTTTGCGAGATGTATGGCATGCCCACGTTACCCAAAACGATCGACCCCCCCCCTACTGTACCTGTTTCGTTTTTATGTGCCGATTTTTGGAAATGTAATTTTGCATCGCTATGAAAACATTTGCCGGATCCCAATTCAATTGTTGCGCAAACATGCATTTAATGTGTCGCGACAAAAATCTGCCCGTGACTGCCTATTCCTGATTTGAAATATTGTTTTGTGGCGGCAAATGCTACACCTATCATCAACGCACGTGCTGGCGCCATCTAGCTCTCGCAAGTGTCGGGGCTTACGTTTGATTTTTGGGGCACCTGTCGAATCCAGGTATCAGGCCAAAACTATCCATCAGAATCCGTGTTTAGCACTCTATCCTATCAAAATTCACTTGTCAAATCCGAGATTCATAGCCATTTCTGCAAAAATTCACTCGCCATAACCCAGCTTCAAACCCTGTTTTTGGAAAGTTCCCCGTCAGAATCCGAGTTCAGCGAAAACCTCACCCGCTATTAAATCGAAATCGAGGTAGTTATCCGTCAAAATACGCCCTACTAGTGACACGCATCATGCGTTAAGCTTCCCGAGAAAAGACGAGGCCTCCCAAGATCTCGTATAAAGGCCATCAGCAAACATATCGCGAGACCTCGCGACAACCGCGAGTGATGCCCGGCAGTTATGGCTTTGGCTGGCAGGGAATAGCGAAACCCCAAGTTGCCGCTCTACTTGTACAGACCCTCGAAAATGGAAAACGTGGCCACTAGTGATAAGGGCGTTACCAAGATGATTGCACGTGCCTTTGCCAAATGCCGCAGCCCTTAATGCGCCGTCAAATTTTGCCGTATTTCTCCATAATGTACATTATGCCCAAACCAGCTGCCTTGAAAAAACGTATTGGCATCTGAACCCAACACGAAAACGGGTACAGTAGGGGGGGGGAGGGGTCGAACGTTTTGGGTAACGAGGGCATGCCATGCATTGCGCCCAAAAAGCGTCGACATTTTTTTAACCAAATTTGGTTTTCGTTAAAGCATGTGATTCCCTCAGCGGTTTGATTGGCTAAATTGCGCGCTTTGATGAGAATCCTATCTGGTTCAAAACTACTGGGAAATGATGAAAATGGGTCCCCCCTTCGCTAGAGGCGTGAACAAAAAATGTCCGGCAACTTTTTGCCGCGACACCTCGTCTCCGAGCCTGTACTACACCTCATTCGTCATACAATACGCACACATTACTGGGTCACAAATTTGCAGGTTCATGGGGGCGCTTCGTATCGTAACCCTGTAGTGGGACCTTCATACGAATTCAATATACTTTTTAGGGCACAAAAAAAACTAAAACCCAAAGATGCACCACATGCGACTCGGGGTGGCATCAACCCTAAACTCGCAAAAGGGCCGCGTGTTTAGGGTTGATGCCATCCGGAACGGAATTCTGTCTCCAATGGGTTTTAGTTTTTTTTTTCCCGTTTAGAAATGTTGAATGGTGCAGTAAACGTCCCATAAATGTTTAAAGTACTAAACAAAGAAAGAAGTGTATTTCAGGTTAAGATGCGAGGTCCTTGGAGCTGAAAATTGCTAGACCTTTTTTGCTCACGCCTTTGACAAAGCGAGGACCCTTTTTATCATTTCCCAAAACTGCTGACCCTTATTGTCAGGCGATTGCACACGTGGCCTTTTGGGCCAATTGGGTGGACCTTATACAACTGTTCCCTAAACACTATTGATGTAGGAATTTGTCGAACGACGAATTTCGTTTTGGCCCGAAAATTTTCAACGGATCACTATGTGCCGCCCTTCATAGTGTACAGTGTTGGAAAGGTTTTGTACACTTGGCTCGCTTTCATTTCAAATTATGAAATTGAGCGGTAACGATAGTTGTTCCAAACATCTGGGTTGTCCGAAAGCATGTCCGTGTTCATAAGAGAGTTTGCGTGGTATTAGAATTTGTGACTTTCTAGGACGTCACTAGAAGGCCCGGTACAGTACAGGTTAGACACGATAATTGCGACGACTCCTAATGCACACATTCGTACAGGGGAATGATTCGATAACGACAACTCCCACGTACGCAACGTGTACGGTGTTCCACCAACCGTATAAACATATACAATAAATGTCGCAAACTATGGCATTCAGATAAACAATGTCAAGACCGCATCCCATTGGTCGGCGATCTCCACGACCCGCATATGCCCCCTTTCCCGACCCATTGATGCAAAACTGATTTACATAATTCCCAATCGATGCTTACATTACCAAGATTCCAATCGTAGAAAGCCAGGTATTTCCATTTTTTTTTCCAAACCACATAGGCTAGGAACTGGAGTTAGAACTAGACGAGAATATGCAAATCCCCCAAGCCTGAAATTTGACAAAGCATTGCATAAAGGGGCAAAATTACGCACAGCCTGTTCCACAGCTTGCGTTGGACTGGATATTGCGTCAGCATCGTAATGAACCTATTGGCACCGCATCGAGTTTAGGTATAAATCCTATGCATTGCGCATAACCGCATCATTCTGGCGCGATGTGCTATAAGGCTTCGTCCTATAATACTCTCTGAGTTAAGTCAATGTTATGCTTTTGCCGTAAAAAAAATCATTTTTCTGTGTGCTTCGCGACTTTAGCGATTGGATATTGGCCAATTACAGCTGTATATAGTTTCGCTAGTAACAGGTGTTTCTTGTTTCTAATATGTTGAGCAGTTTTTGTTCTGGGATTTACAGCCCACCCGTGTAGCATCGCATAAGCACGTGCGAAAATGCCTACGAATTCCCGTCGCATAATACGCCAGGGGCACCAACTATGTACAGTACGCAACAGATAGTACCGCAACTCACTTAGTGCAACTCTGCCTGTGTGCACAGACCTTCTCGAGTAGAGAAAATTCCAACTATCTTGGAGCTTGCTATGTTTGAGTGTGACATGTTGCTTTTTTTTTTTTTTTTTTTTAATAACGGTTGAATATAGCGACGTCCCTAAGCATTCCGCTCCTACGGGCACCCTCTGAAGATATAAGACAGTAGACAGTTTGAATCAGTTACTTGTTCAAAGACAGTATCAAAATGTGGCATCTCACATTGTAAACATTGGTTGTCTAGAAAACGAAGGACGTTGTTTTTTCCATGGGTGATCCTTTCGGAGTGTGACTACCAACTGTAAAGATAACGTTGAAAATACCAGCTTCGAAAATAACGCAACTCAAGTGTATTTAGAGCAAGTGGCCCGCATGCGCCAGTAGGGACTGTGCTTGTGGCGTCGAAATTGAACAGTTTTCAAGCAACGACGGTCATCCCGAAACTAGTTCGTATGTAATACACTTCGGTGCAGCATTTTGAGGGAACAGTAGCGCGAGGTCGACCGAATTGGACCAGGCTGCCGCGTGTGCAATCGCCGGGCGATAAGGGTCGACGGTTTTGGAACCAGGTAGAATTCTTAACGAAGCGCGCAATTTCGCCGGTTCGATTTCGTTTGGTACATTTCGGGCGGACACGTCACGCCGGTCGCCATTGGGGACCGCGACAGTCCCCGTGGGGGCGCAATGTGCAGCGTGTACAGTGCAACTGTAATGCACATGTGATGCAAGTGAAGGGCTGGGGTTTCAGGGAGGACCAGATTTCCGACTCAGCAGCAGGCCTCTCGATAGCTGGGTAATTGCCCTGATTACTCAAGGAAAACAGGGTGATTTTGTTGTACTACCCTGATTTCTACGCATCCAGATTTGAAGTACACGTCCTCTAGCAGCCTAGGCAACAACATTCCACGTCCGATTTCCGAGTAGTGGAATGTGTCGCCCTGTAACATCCGTCGGTAAGGCCTGGTTACCCAGCTAGAAACCCCTCTTCTCCATTGAGGGAGGGATTCGGGCAAAACCGCTCCCGAAATCCCAAGTGGTCCGTTTGGGTTTTCGGCAAGCGCGCCAGACCCTGATTGGATGTTGCAGCTTCCCCAACCAAGCCTCTCTAACTCAAACTCGTTACCCCCAACCAAGCCCCTCAACCAAACATTTCCCCCAACCAGGCCTCTCTGAACCAAACTCATTTCCCCCAACCGAGCCCCTCTCAGCCAAACTCGTTCCCCCCAATGAAGCCTCTCTCAGCCAAACTCATTCCCCCAACCAAGCCTCTCTCAGCTAAGCTCGTTTCCCCAAAGTGGTTTGGTTGGGGAAACGTGTTTTCTTGACCACGCCTCTGTGCTTCATATAAGTGGGGCATTTGTATCTGTGGGTAGGGTAATTTTTTGTAGTAGGCAATAAATTGGTGATGTGGCGGTTGCACTTGTAGTCAATCGTTTGGGTTTTTCTTTTAGCACAATTTGGCCTGTAATAACATCCGAGCACTTGTAGATGAAATTGGTGAAAGGAAAAGTTCAGTGCACTTCAAAGAAGTGAACGCGACCTTGAAACCCTTCACATGCCGGGAAACCGCCGAAACTGCCTTGCAAAACCAGTCAACATTTTTTGGGCTACCCAGCTTGGACGAGTTGGTTGCGCGACTAACTCGGATTCTGCAGGGGGGCCTTCGGGGACATCGAGAGGCCTGCTCAGCAGTCCAAAGAAACCTGCCGCCACGCCAATCGACAGCCGGGGAGAGGAGGGAGTCCAGTCGAGCGACTCCATCCAGGCATGGATAGCGTAACTGTCTTGAAAAGGGCCTGCTCAGGTGAGCCCTCCCAGCACTTCGTTCGCTTGCGGCGTGTCCCTTATCTGCTTGCTTTCAGCCCCGCATCACGGTACGAATGGCTCTGCCAGCGCTACACTTGTATTTCTTTCTTCGCTGAAGCCTTTCAGTCTTCGGCTCTGGCTCCCGCGGCGGCATCAAACGGGTTTCTGCTCTTTACCTCCATGCGCCCATCATGATGGCGCCCAAGCAACTCCATAGTGAAAAATTCGGCGAAACGTTCAAAACTGGTAACGGGAGCGGCGGCATTTTCGCGAGCTGGAAATGCGCCTCCGCGGAAGCCGCCGTTGTGTGCAGCGCAGCCGCCGTATCGGCCGCCGCCGCCGCAGGCGCGCAGCTCAACTGGTGGCGGAACCGCCGCGCCGGCCATAATTCGCGCCTAATCTTGGTGCTCCTTCTGGCCGCGCTCGTCGCCGTCACGCGCGACAGCAGCGGCGGTGCCTCCGCTCTCTTCATCCGCATATGGCGCTCGTCGCGCAACATGATTCTTCTCGGAGATCCCACGCCCGGCGACGCGGCGGCGGCGGCGGCTGGGACGCCAGGAGCGCCGCCAGGTATTCGAGGCGATTGGCAGCCGCCGCCGCAATCGCCGAGAGACGATTTCGTGGACGCGTCGGAGTGGCCGCTGGCGCCGCCGAATGCGGCGGCGGCGGATGCTGACGTCGAAGTCGCGCGTACGCCGGAGCGCCGCGGCGGCTCTCGATCACATCCAGACATTGTTGTCTGGGCAAAGGTGTGATAGTGGTGGTATTGTCGTAGATGGATTACAGGTGGGTTGCGGAGGCCTTTCTTCCAACAAGTCTGTAAGTTGGTATTGGGTTAAGGTGTGATAGTGGTGGTATTGGCGGTTGAGGCGGTGGTTGATCCTTGCGGCATAGTACTCCGAGTATACGTTGTAGTCTTCTGCGTTCCAAAAATACTCCCGAGAAAATCGGTATAAGCAGTTATACATAAAAGCGACTATACCTATAAGAGGTTATACCTATAGACGATAATACCTACAAGCGGTTATATCTATAAGCGACTGTACCTATAAGCGGTTATACCTCTACAACCTCGCGCAAAGACTCCACACCATGTCCGCGAATGACGCAGCCACAACCTCCACACGCCCTTTTCAAATGTGAGACAATGTGTGCGGGCCGTGGGCACAAATGTCGCGACTTGGCATATGCTCAGCGAAAGGCTTCCCTCTGCCTCTTTGTGGCTGTCGCCGTCCCACATCCCAGCCGCTCCCCTCCAAGGTTAACAAGCTGTTACTCGCTTTCTCCTCCAGTTTCCCCCTTCCCCTCCCCCTCCCCCTCCCCCACCCCTTCTTTCTCCCCCTTGCCACTTCCCCCGTGTTCCGCATCGCGCCAGGGCCCCCTGCACGACCGGCTCGATGCGCTGTGCGCGGGCTACGCCGTGCGCGGCGTGCTTTCCGCCGCGCTCACGTCCTCCCAGGAGCTTTCCTTGGAAAACACCTTTCAAGAGCATCCCCTTGAAAAGAGCTTAAACGACTCCGACTCCGAGTCGCTCGACTCAGCGCGGCGGCGGCCCAGCGCGCAGCTCCCCCCGGACTCCGATTCGCCACGCGGCGCGCGGCTGCGGCTGCGGCTGTGGCCGCGCCGGCATGTGCGCGTGGGCGTGCTGTGGCTTCCCGACGCCGCCCTGCCGCACTCCCGCCTGCACCACCTCCTCGCGCTGCTGCCGCCCCTCTCCGCGCTCTCGCCCAGCGGTGACGCGGAGGGAAGCGGTCAACGCGGTCAACGCAGCGGTCAACGCGACGGTCAACGCGACGGTCAACGCGGCGGTCAAGGCAGTGACGATTGTGAAGGTCAAGATTGTGATGGCGGCGACGGTGAAGGCGAGGGCGGGGGCGAGCAGAGTGAGAGACAAGGCAACGCCAAGAGCGACGCAGCAACGGTGCTGTACCGCCGGCCTGCGTGGCTCGACAGCACACGCTACAATGCTGTGGTGCGCTGCTCGTGCTCCCACGCACAGAGCACTCCTCACTCCCTCACTCCCCCCCTCCCCCACACCCTCATTCCCTCACTCCCCCACTCCCCCACACCCTCATTCCCTCACTCCCCCACTCCCCCACACCCTCACTCCCTCACTCCCCCACTCCCCCACACCCTCACTCCTCGCTCCCCCACTCCCCCACACCCTCACTCCCTCACTCCCTCACTTTTCACAGCCTTTTCTCAATCGTCACTCCCTCACTGTCCATGCTTTTACTCGTTACCCCGGCAAACCCCATTCTTCCTTGCCTCTGATCCTCTTCAACCTTGCATCTGTTCAGATGCTTCTGTGCGTATGCCTGATGTGGATGCTTGCATGTCTGTGTGTGCATGTCTGTGTGTGTGTGCATGCATGCTTTCACATGCCCCACACCAGAGCCTCACTCTGCGGATCCCTCAAGCCCCGTCAGCAGTCAACCGCCACCCATCCCACCACTCCCCCCCTTCCTCCTCTCACCCCTCCCGCCAACTCCCCCTCTCTCTCTTCCTCGCCTCCTCCCTCGCTCCCCTCCTCCCCCCCCTCTCCTCCCTGGACCAGTCCCAATTGTGCATGTCACTGCACCGCTGCTACAGCCTGCTACGGCCGTCGCTGCCAGTGCAGCAGCTCATAGCCAAGGAGAACATGACACGTGTCAGGCAAAGCACAGCTGTCTACCTGGAGTCCGTCCCTCCCTCCTCCTCTCCCTCCCCCTCTCCCTCCTCCTCTTCCCCCTCTTCTTCCCTCCCCTTCGTCTTCTCCTCCCCCCACCCCGTCTGCCCCTCCTGCCCCCCCTCCCTCCTCCTCAACTGCACGGCCCGGCGCCTCATGTGGTTCTTCCTCCGAAACCCTCTCTCCGACGCCACAGTGGCCGCCTTCCACCCCTCGCAGGCCCTCGCGATCGCCCACTCTTTCCACGCCAACCGCCAGCCGCACCTGCTCTCAGCCACCCTGCGCCGCGCTGCGCTGTGCCGGCCCAACCCGCGGTGGGGGGAGGTGGGTGAGCCGGCCGTTGTGGCGGCGGCGCTGAGCGTGAAGGAGAGCGAGAAGCGGTGGTGGGTGAAGCAGATGGTGCGCCGCATGATGCGTGAGGAGGAGCCGCAAGATGCACATGGCGATGGCCGCCAGTATGGTCACGGGCATGGGCATGGTCACGGGCATGGGCATGGGCACGGGCATGGGGATACAGAATTGCATGGGCATGGGAACAGGGGCAAGGGCCGGCCGCGGTGGCAGTCAATCCTGTGCGCGCGGCTGGAGGCCGCAGAGCTGTTTGCGCTGGCCCACGCGCGCGGACTCATCCACGCACTGCACTCCCCGCAGGCCGACCTCGTGCATGCGCAGGCACGCACTCGGGGCGCTGTGGTGGTGGTGCGCGATGGGAGTGTGGCTCCGGAGAGCGAACCCATGGAGGAAGAGGGAGGAGAGGAGGGGGAGGAGGGGGAAGAGGGGAATGAAGGGGGTGAGGAGGGCGGCATTGCTGAGCAAGTGGGAGCCAGCAAGGAGGGAGGCAGGGAGGGTGGGAGTAGCCCAGATGGCTTGGGGAGTGGCTGGGCGGGTGCTGCTGGCGCTGCTGTTCCTGCTGGTGCTGATGGCGCTGCTGGCGCTGTTGGTAGGGCTGTGACGCGGCGCCTGAGATCGTCCGGTGCAGAGCGGTCGGAGCAGGGAGGGGAGGTTGAGTGGTTTGAGGTGGAGAGGGCGTTGTGTGATGCGCCGCCCATGAAGCCCATCACGGAGCACCGCGTGGGGCAGCAGCTCATAGTTGACGGTGAGAGGGGGTAGCGGGCGGTGAGAGCATCTGCTCTGTTAGAAGAATGGTCCGCTCTGCGATGCAATGCCATGCCATGCCATGCCATGCCATGCCGTGCAATGCCATGCCATGCCATGTCATGCCACACTGTGCCATGCCATGCCGTGCCATGCCAGTTGGTCTTTCAGTCCCCTTATCCCTCTCTTTCACTCTTTCCTCCCTGCCCCCCCGACCCCCCCCTGCACCAGAGTCCCTGGGGGTGTTGTATTGCGCGGTGCCCAAGGTCGCGTGCACGAGCTGGAAGATGTGGCTGCTGCAGCAGCGCCACGACCCGCACGCCATGGACCGCATCTCCGTGCACCGGCCCTACCGAACGAGCCTCCCGGCCGTCTGGTTCGGGATGTCCGAGCCTGAGGCGATCCGAGCCGTGACGCGGCGGGACCTGGTGCGGTTTGTGTTTGTGCGCAACCCGTTCTCGCGCCTTGTCTCGGCTTATATGGACAAGGTCGTGCAGGGCGAGGGGAACGGCTGGCGCGTCCGAATCGGGTGGACGCTGGTGAGTCCTCCGGCGAGATGAGCATGAGCAGGGAGGGATCTGTGTGTTATGTGGTGTGTGTGTTTTGGAGACATCTCAAAGCAAGGTCGTGCAGGGCGAGGGGCAAGGCTGGCGCGTCCGAATCAGATGGACGCTGGTGAGTCCGGGGTGGGGGGAAGACTGGGATTCTGTATGTGTGTGCGTGGGCAGGGCGGAGGGGTAGATGGGGTGGGGGGGGGAGATTGATTTGGTGGGATGTTTGAGGGGCACGGAGTGAGGGAGGTGGAGGGAGGTTGGAGCTGTGCATGCACGCACACTATCCCTCTACTATCGTGTCACCCTCTCTTTATCCCTCCCATCTTCTGAACCTCCATCCCTTACTTTCTCCTCCTCTCCCATCCACCCACCCCTCCCCTCTCCTCCCCTCCCCTCCCACCCCTCTTCTCCCCCCCTCACTCTCTCCCCCCCTCTCTCTTCTCCCCCTTCTCTTCTCCCCCCTCTCTCTCCCCACCCCTCTCTCTTCCCCCCCTTCTCTTCTCCCCTCCTCTCTCCCCGCCCCTCCAGCGCTTCTTCCTCCGCCTGGCGACCATCAACCGCCACACCCACCGCCCCTTCTCCCTCGCCGACGTCACCCACCCCTCCTCCCACCTGGCGTCCCCCGCGCTCTCCCCCTGGGCGGCGCTGCGCATGGCGGTGGGCGCCGTGCTGGGCTTCCGGGAGTTTGTGCAGCTGGTGGAAGAAACCAGGAGGTTGGATGATCTGGTCAGCATGGACAACCACCTCGCGCCGCAGGTGAGAACGCTGTGGGGGGGCGGGAATGGGGAGTAGTGTGCCTGTGCGCGCTGTGTGTGTATGTGCGTCCGTGCTCCCTCGGGTGGCGGGCGCCGTGGTGGGTTTTGGGGAGTTTGCACAGGCTGGTGGACAAAGCAAGGCGGGTGGACGAACTGGTCAACATGGACAACCACCTCGCCCCTCAGCTGAAGGATGCCATGCAATACCATCGGATACAATGGGATATGACGGGATACCATGGGATGCCATGGGATGCCACGGGATGCCATGGGATGCCATGTGATGCCATGTGATCCCATGTGATACCGTATGATACCATGGGATACCATATGATACCGTCTGTTACCATGTGATGCCATACGACACCAAGGGACACCATGTGATACAATGGGATGCCATGTGGCTGAGATACTTGTGTTCCATCCATCAGTACCCCTCACACCCCAGCACCGCACATGACACACAACACACACACTCTCGCTCCCCGTCTCCCTCCTCACCTGAATGGAGCCACATCTGTCACCCTTCCCCCTGCTATGCTCCCCCTCTCCCCAACACCCCCTCTCTCACGCTACTCTTTTTCCCATTCTATCCTCCTTTCCCTCTGCCCTGGCCTTCCTGTCCTGGCTGGGGCACATCAAGTACGACGTGGTGGGGCGCTTGGAGCCCATGCAAGAGCCGGCCACTACACGCAGTGCCCATGCATCACAGCAGGCGCTGAACCCCTGCTCTTTCTCCCTTCCCTCCCTGCCACCAGGCCTTCCTGTGTGGGCTGGACTGGGCCCCTAACTATGACGCGGTGGGCCGCTTTTTTAGTCGATATGATATAGCGGGCCAAGCGTTGAATCCCTGCTCCCCACTCCCCGCTCTCTCGTGTTTCCCCCCTTCCTTCCCCACCCCCCCTCGCCCCTCGCTCCTCGTCCCTGGCCGCAGGCCTTCCTGTGCGGGCTGGGGCACATCAAGTACGACGTGGTGGGGCGCTTTGAGCATCTGCAGGAGGACGTGCAGGCGGTGCTGCAGAGACTGGGCAGGGCAGGGGGAGCAGAGGGGGGGGGAGGAGAGGGAGGGGGAGAGGGAGGGGGAGCAGGGAAGGTTGCGGACCCGTTTGCGATGGGCAAGGGCGTTCACTTCACCAACTCGTCCAGCCGCGTGTTCGACATGTTCCGAGATAAGGTGACAAGGGGGAGTGATGCTGCAGGGAGGTGAGTTGCTAAGGGGTTAGCTTGGCTCACGTCAACACTATTGCATGAGGGATAGGGTGATGGGCACTGTGGCATGGGTGTTGGGCACTGTGGCATAGGTGATGGGCACTGTGGCATGGGTGTTGGGCACTGTGGCATGGGTGATGGGCACTGTGCCATGGGTGATGGGCACTGTGGCATGGGTGATGGGCACTGTGGCATGGGTGATGGGCACTGTGGTATGGGTGTTGGGCACTGTGGCATGGGTGTTGGGCACTGTGGCATGGGTGTTGGGCACTGTGGCATGGGTGTTGGGCACTGTGGCATGGGTGATGGGCACTGTGGCATGGGTGTTGGGCACTGTGGCATGGGTGATGGGCACTGTGGCATGGGTGATGGGCACTGTGGCATGGGTGATGGGCACTGTGGCATGGGTGATGGGCACTGTGGCATGGGTGTTGGGCACTGTGGCATGGGTGATGGGCACTGTGGCATGGGTGTTGGGCACTGTGGCATGGGTGATGGGCACTGTGCCATGGGTGATGGGCACTGTGCCATGGGTGATGGGCACTGTGGCATGGGTGATGGGCACTGTGGCATGGGTGATGGGCACTGTGGCATGGGTGATGGACACTGTGGCATGGGTGATGGGCACTGTGGCATGGGTGATGGGCACTGTGGCATGGGTGATGGGCACTGTACGACAGGTGATGGGTACTTCGGCCCCGAGTGACGGGTGAAAGAACAGGCACCGGGCGGGGGAGGGTTGTGTGGATAAGTGGGGAGGGAGGGGTGTGTGGATAGGTGGGGAGGGAGGGGGAGGTGGGGGTGGGGAGGAGATGACATCGAGTGGGCCAGGGCGTTCACTTCACCAGCAGGTGCAAGGGACAGTGTGGGGGATGAGGGATGGAAGAGATGACGGTTTGAGACAAGATAGGGTGGACAACTCAGTTGTCTTCCTGTCCACCTCCCAACAGCCAATCATATGGCGGCAGGCACAGCCCAGGAAATCTGATGTAGATTGCCCTAAACTGAAGCCCGCCTTGCACTCTTTGTGTTGTGGTGTGGTGCGTTGTGTTGTGTGTGTGTGCGTGCGTGCGTGCGTGCGTGCGTGCGTGCGTGCATGCGTGCGTGCGTGTGTGTGAGAGTGGTGCAGGAGACGTATTTGAGGGTGAAGCAAGTGTACGCAGTGGACATGCGGTCGTCGCTCAACGACCTGCACTACGACCCTCCGGCAGACTTGGCAGCCAAGTTTGAAGACTGAAGCTGGGTGGGCTTGATTTAGGAGCTAATGTGGTGGGTGTTAACGTAGAAATGAATGATTACTAGAGGTGGAAACCTAGAACAAATACTAGTTGGTTGTACTCACTAGAAGCATACCTCAGTCTAGCCTATAACTTCTACATAGATAATATGTATAAGTTGACACACCCCCTAGGCTAGACAAGGGGTGAAACTAAACAAGAAGCAAACAGCTCAGGGCGGCACTACTAGTCCAACCACTGAGGCAGGGGTCTGGAGACCAGTCAGCAAGAATACAACCAAAACTGAAGCAAGCCAGGGTGGCACTACTAGTCCAGCCACTGGAGGTAAGGCCACAAGGCCAGTCTGACAAGCATATATAATAGAGAGTACACAATCAGGATCCTAACAGGGGAGCAGCTATAGGAACAAGACCAAGCTGTACACAGTGCCGCTGATGATCTTTAGGCGCAAGCGCCTTAGTAAAGATATCAGCTGTGTTGGCACCTGAGGCCAAGTGAACTACGCGGGCCTGGCGGCGCTGCTGTAGCTCGCGCAGGAGGAAGTACCGCAGCTGGATATGCTTCGCTCTGCCCTCAAGCCGAGGCTCCTGACACAGGAGTATCATGGCCCTGTTGTCAGCGTACAGGACCGGGGCAGAGCTAGGCCGCTCACCTAAGTCTGTGAGCAAGAAGGTCAGCCAGCGGAGCTCCTGTGCCGCCATGGCACCAGCGTAGATCTCAGCCTCACAGCTAGACTGAGCCACAGACGACGAGCGAGTGGATCTCCAAGAGATAGCACCCGAACCAAGGCTGAAACAGTAGCCCTGCGACGACCTGAGCGTCTCAGCGTCGTCTGCCCAAGAAGCGTCTGTGTGCCCAGTAAGGACCACTGGCCTGCGTCCTCCTAGCACTAACCCCATGCCTGATGTACTAGCAAGATAACGCAAAACCCTCTTAGCGGCAGACCAGTGCTGAGGTCGGTGTCTGCCTGTAGCCACAAAGCGAGCCAGGATGCTGAGAGGGTATGCGAGATCTGGGCGAGTGCAAGTCATCAGGTACATGAGGCAACCCACCAGCTCTGCGTAGGGGCCACTGGGCTCTACTGGCTCCTCAGGAACGGGAGCAGAGAGCCCATGGTCTACGGGTAGAGGTGTGGGCTGTGCGGAGGAGAACTGAAGACCGAACCTCTGAAGGACCTGACGCACCAAGTGTGACTGGGTCAGAGTGATGGTGCGTGCTGCTCTGTCCCTAGAGATCTGCAGGCCAAGATAGCGACGCAGCTCTCCAAGGTCAGTGCAGGTGTGTCTCTTCAGCAGCTCAGCCTTCACAGAGGCCAGTGCGTCCCTGTCAGGAGTAGCGAAGACCAGGTCGTCTACGTAGACAAGGATGTAGAACGGAGTCTGGCCGGAACGCACAAACAGTGAAGGGTCAGCAGAGGACGGAAAGAACTGCAGGTCTGCTAACGTGGCACGTAGCGTATCGTGCCACTCGCGGGGAGCCTGACGCAGGCCGTAGACCGGGCGCCTGAGAAGCCACTGGGTCCCAGGAGGGAAGGTACCAGTGAAGCCCTGTGGTCGGCGCAGGTAGACCTGCTCGTGTAGGCTGCCCTGAAGAAAGGCAGTAGAGAAGTCGAGGGAGTGAAGCTCGTAGTCACGCTGTGCTGCTACGTGTAGCAGCGCCCGAAGAGTGGTCATCTTCGGGGTCGGGGCGAAGGTCTGGAAGAAGTCAACCCCCTCGCGCTGACTGAAACCTCTGGCCACGTAGCGCGCCTTGAAGACAGGCGGCTCTCCAGGGGGGCGCTTCACCTTGAAGAGCCACCGACCATCGACTACGTTCACCCCAGGCGGGGGAACTGCGTCGACGTAAGTGCCGGTGGATCTCCAAGATGCCATCTCCTGCTCCATGGCAGCTATCCACTGAGAGGCCCAAGGTCCCGAGGTGGCCTCAGCGTAGGTGCGAGGGGTCGGGATGTCGAAGGCGTCTGGGTCACCCTCAGGGACTAACAGCATGGAGCAGAGATGGGGAGCAGCCTCGGAAAGGAAAGCCAGCTCGTACTGCCTGTCCTCTAGGACGTCACTGCCAAGGGCAGGAGCACCCCCGACGGACAGAGGACGGGCAGGGTCAGAGACCAGAGCGGTAGCGTAGTCAAGGCGGCGGGTAGAAGCGAAGTCAGCGACAGCAGCGACAAGCGCGTCAAGGCGCGAGACAGGAACAGCAGGGTCGGTAACAAGAGAGGCAAGGACCCGAGGGACAAGGGGACGAGCAGCACGGAGGTAGTCAGAGAACGGAGGAGGTGCAACAGCAAGGGACGAGGGAGGAGGGGACGGGAGGAGGGGAGGACGAGACGAGTGGGAACGGAGCAACATAGGGTGGGTGGGCAGGACAGGAGAGACGGGACGAGCACGGGAGGGACGGCGAGCCCAAACGTGAGACGGAGGGGTAGGGTCAGGGGACAGCGGAGGAGATACAGGAGGGGAACGAGGAGGAAGACGGGCCGGAGACGAGTCTGGCGGCGGGAACACAGGACCGTAGACAGGGAGGTCAGGAGGCGGTGGGGGAGACACCGGCGCGCGGTCCGGGGAGGGAAGGCCGAGCAGGCGGAGAGCGGAAACCGGCGGCGACGGCTGCTGCGGCGGCGACGACGGCTGGGCCGGAACTCTCGGACCAGCAGAGGCAGAACGACCGTCGGCAGAACACTCAACAGCAGCACCCCCAGAACCAACACCCCCAGAGCGAGAACCCCCTCCAACACCAGCGGCACCCCCAGAAGCCGCAGGACGAACACCCTCCTCCACACCAGCACCCCCAGGGGCCGAGAGCAGCGGCGGCAGTGGCGGCAACGGCTGCGGCGGCGGCGACAGCGGGGACGGCTGCGGCAGCGACAGCGGCGGCGGCGGCGACGACAGCGGCGACGGCTGCGGCGGCGACGGCGACGGCGGCGGCAGCGGGGTCGGCGACTGCGACAGTGGGGGCGGAGGCACCGGGGAAGGGGGACGCGGCAAGGACGGACCGGGGGTACCACCAGAGTCAGCAGACTCCTCAACGGGGACAACCGACGGGAGGGGAGTGACGTGGGAGACACCAGACGGGGCAGGACGAGGCGGGAGAGGGGCAGGGGCTACCGGGGGAGAGGGAGCAAGGAAAAGGGGGGGGGCAACTGGGAGACCTCGGTGAGGGAAGCGGCGGTAGAAGGAGACGGACTCATCAAAGGTGACGTCACGAGAGTGGAGGAAGCGGTGAGACGGCGGGTGGTAGAAAAGCCAGTCAGACGAGTCCAGGGGGAAACCGAGGAAGACACAGGGGACAGTGCGGGCAGTGAGCTTGTCCGTGCCAGAGGCACGAACGTGAGCAAGGCAGCCCCAGACGTGGAACGCAGACGCGTCACCGGGGGACCCGGTCCAAAGGAGGGTCGGCGAAACCTGCGGCCGCTGGGAGCGTGGCCACAGGTTAAGCTGGTGAGCCGCGTAACGAACAGCGAACGGCCACAGAAAATGGGGGGCATCGGCATGGATCATGGAGGTACGGGCGACCTCCATGACCAAGCCGATGCGGCGCTCAGCAACCCCATTCTGCTGTGGCGAGTCCGGCAACGTGTACGACTGGGTGATGCCCTCCGCACGACAGAACTGTCCAAGCCGACCAGAGGCGAACTCGCCGCCACGGTCGGAGTGGAGACACAACACGGGGAGACCGCGGTGGAGACGCGCAGCCACAACCCACGGGAGAAGAACGTCGGGCACGTCGGCCTTCCGCTCCAGGGGAAACACCGTGGTGTAGCGCGTGTAGTCGTCGACAAGCACAAGGAAGTAGCGCTCACCGCGCGGTCCGGGGACGGGGGCAGGGCCCCAAACGTCCAAGTGCAGGGTCTGAAGGGGGGCAGTAGCAGGACGCAGCGAGGAGGAGTGAGGAGCACGGCGGAGCCGACCCTCGACGCAAGGCGTGCACGGTGGCGCAGTCGAGGGAGGAAGGGCAGGGAGCGACGCGGGGAGACCTAAGACAAGACCGTGCTGGGACATGTGACGCAGACGCGGGAGAGCAGGGTGACCTAAGCGGTGGTGCCAGAGAAGGGAGGGGTGAGTGAGGGACCGACACGAGCAAGCTGCAGCGACCTGGGAGGACGCACCAACCGGGGGGGAAGCGGTGTGTAGGGTAAACAGACCGGACACCGGGTCCCGGGGGAACGTCGCAAGGGGGGAACCTGAGACAGCCTCAGAACAGACAGCGAACCGCTCGTGCCCGGGGAACGTGGTGGTGACGCCGAGGTCCTGGAGACAGCCGACACCAACCAGGTTCCTGGAGAACGAGGGAACGTGGAGGCCAGTAAGGGAGCCCGAGGGAACTGCCGGACAGGGAAGGGACGTAGAACTGCGCGCGACGACCGGACCCGCAGAGGGGTCAGCGAGAGAGACAACAGCAGGTGCAGCAAGCGGCGTGAGCGTGGAACGGTCGCGGAAGAAGCAGGCAGAAGCACCAGAGTCGAGAGTGAAGGACAGCGACGCAGTGGCGGGGGCCGGGGACGGAGCCGGTGCAGCGACTAGACTAGGCAACCTAGGCAGTCCTACGCCTGTCGCAGCAGGGGAAGCTAAGCTACACAAGGGTGAAACACCTAAACTAGAGTACACAGGGTAGTAAGATCCATCAACACTAGAAGCGTCAGCATACAAAGCATGCAAAGCAGCACCTATCTGATCCATGTCTAACTCAAAGAGCGGCACGCCCTGGCGGAGCAGACTGTGCCAGTCAGGGAGGTCCGGGGCCGGGCCAAAGCGACGACGAAAAAGATCGTCGAGGCGGCGGAAACAGCGGGCGGTCGGGTGCGGGCGGCGGCACTGAGTGCTGCGGAGAGGCCCGGTCTGAAGCTGGTACTGGCAGGTCACAGCACTGGAGCCGCTGGTAGACGCCAAGCTGCGCGGGCCGCCACCACGGCCACCGCCTCCGGAGGTGCCGGGCCAACCAGGCGGGAGACGAGCCCACGGCTGCGGCGGGTGCTGCTGGGACGGCGGCTGCGGCTGGGGCTGGTCCTGCTGCTGCTGGGACTGCTGCTCCTGCCCACCGGTGGTAGTCCCCTCAGGCGGACTACCCTCACCACCACCACGACCACTACCACCTGCGTCACCACCCCTACCTCCCTGGCGGCCACGGCCACCGCGACGCGAGCGCTGCTGCGGGTGGACAGCAGCAGCCGTCTCGGTAAGAGGGGTCGCCGTGGCGACCGCAGCCGAAACGTCAGTGAACGTGCACGGGGATGGGGCACAGCCGTGAAAGATAGAGACTGGCGGCGCACCGCTCGACTGAGCGATAGTGCGCTGGCGAGTCTCGATCTCAGTGAGGGTGTCGACAAAGGCGGTCAGGGTGAGGTCACCCGGGTGCTGGCTAAGAAAGTGGTCGCGAGCACTAGCGAGGCGGTCTGGCAGGCGCATAGCGATAAAATAGAGCGTCATGCAGAAAGGAGGGGGGAGCGCAGTGAGCTGGGCAGCAGTGCTGGCAGTGCGATAGCGAGTCTCTAGGGCACGCAAATGAGTGGCAAAATCTGCGACAGTAGGGAAGGCAGCCAGGTCTGGGAACAGCATCGGAAAGAGCAAGCGGCCAGCAGAAGCGGAGGCAGGGGTGGAATAGCGAGCAATAACGGCGTCTAAATAAGCTTTGGCCGTTTCAACAGTAGCAAAACGCGAGCGCTCAGACACAGGGAGGGCGTGACTAATAGCAACCTGAGCTACTGCATCGCGTGAGTCCCAGATCGCACAGGCCAGCGCAGCAGTAGAGAAAGCCTCACGGTCATCAGAGGAGGGGTCAGCAGGGAGGGGAGTAGGTGCAGGGGGACGGGGGAGCAAGCCATCAGCATGGACAACCAGAGAGTGGCCATCCTGGCGCTGACCTGTAAGCTGGCGGCGAAGATCGGAGAGCCAGGCGGCGAAGTCAACCGCGTGGCCCTCAGCGTCCAGGCGGAGCACAAAGTCAGCCATCGTGCAGGGTCAGCGGCACAGCTCCTCAGCGACACAGCGGCACAGCAGCACAGCTCCTCAGCGGCACAGGAGCACAGCGGCGCGGGGACACGGCGGCAGCACTCTCCAGTAGGGCAGCAGCTAGGCGTCCCAGCGCAGGCAAGCAGAAGACACAGGGCCCGAGAGGACACGGCAGGCCGAGCAGGGGAGGCGGGCAGGTGCTCTGGGGCCGGGCTGGTGCTGGGAGGGGCCAGGCTGGTGCTGCTGGGGCCGGTCGGGCACGAGGAGGGGCCGGGCAGCGCTGAGGAGAGGCCGGGCGGCGCTAGGAAGGGGCCGGGCGGCACTAGGAGGAGGCCGGGCGGCACTAGGAGGAGGCCGAGCGGCACTAGGAGGAGGCCAGGCGGGCGAGCGCTAACAGCAGGCGCGACAGGGGCCAGCGGGCGCGACGGGGCCTAAGGGGCGCGACGGGGCCCAGCGGGCACGACGGGGCCCAGGGGGGGCGCGACGGGGCCGAGGAGGCGCGACGGGGACCAGCGGGCACGACGGGGCCCAGGGGGGCCGCGACGGGGCCTAACGGGCGCGACGGGGCCCAGGGGGGGCGCGACAGGGCCTAGCAGGCGCGACGGGGCCTAGGAAGCGCGAAGGGGCCCAGCGGGCGCGACGGGGCCTAGGAGGGGCGCGACGGGGCCGAACGGGCGCGACGGTGCCCAGAGGGGGGGACGCGACGGGGCTTAGGAGGCGCGACGATGCCTAGGAGGCACGACGGGGCTCAGCGGGCTCGACGGGGCCCATGGGGGGCGCGACGGGGCCTAGGAGGCGCAACGGGGCCCAGCGGGGGCGCGTTAGGGCCTAGGGGTCGCGACGGGACCCAGCGGGCGCGACGGGGCCTAACGAGCGCGACGGGGCCCAGGGGGGGCGCGACGGGGCCTAGGGGGCGCGACGGGGCCTAGGAGGCGCGACGGGCGGAAGCGGTAGGCGGGGGGATCCTAACCTAAGCGTGATACCATGTTAACGTAGAAATGAATGATTACTAGAGGTGGAAACCTAGAACAAATACTAGTTGGTTGTACTCACTAGAAGCATACCTCAGTCTAGCCTATAACTTCTACATAGATAATATGTATAAGTTGACAGTGGGGTGCGGTGTTATAGGTCTGGCAATAAAGTTGCAATTGTCTTGCCCTTTTATTGTTTGCCTGTTTTGTGCCCCTAACGGGCTTTCTTGTTTCCTGTTGTTGTATTCGTCATGCCCCTGAGTATGCAATCCAAGTCTTCTCCAAACCCACGATGCTGTAAGGAGGATCAAAGAGAATTCTTGAAGCCCGACCAGCAGGTTGCAACTCTCGTTTTCTTAAGATGCTGCATCTTGAGAACCTGTAACCAAGCCCACTCGCAGCAGTGGTTGACGAGACTCGAACACCTCAACTCTGTGCCTCGACAAACTTGGCAAGTTTGCGTCCCTGCCAAGTATCGAGGTGAACATGCACGAAGTGTGCTCAGAGGGTAATTACTCGTACAAATTTTGACTTTCGGGCGGTTTAACGCAAGTGTACCTATGTGTGTTTGATTGCACAAGGGCGCAACCGAAGCCCAGTAGTTGAGTCTCGTTTCCTTTCAACTTGCCCTAACAAAAAAAAATAAAAAATAAAAATGATATGGGCTGTTAGCGCAAAAACGCAGGCACGGAAACCCCCCTTGCAACATGGCAAAGAGGCAGGTGTGAGTCCCCTGCCAAATGACGGGGCTCAAACCGGACACCTCTGCCAGGTTGCGTAGCCCTTGGGAATGTTGTGATATAATTGATACTTAGCATTTCTGTAAGTCGATTAAATGTAGTTAGTGTCGAATCATACTGAAGAAGATAAGTCTGTAGTGTTGAAAGTACATCAAAAGACTTAAGCGTTTCTGAAGTGTAACACTACACTCGAGGAAGATTGCAAGGGGTACGCGAGTCAACGGAGGTTACACGAGGGGGCGGACAAAGAACACGAAGGGTCTGGGACTCAAAGGGTCGCAACTGGAGGTTGCGACTGACCGTTACAGCATCACGGATGGTAACCGAAGCGGCAATCGAGTCGCTATGCGACTCGATAAACCGTTCCTGTAACTGTACTCTGCAACTGCTTTCTTATCTTCTATATATTGCTGTATGCTTGTTTCTTTAATCAATCACTTGTTCTCACATACTAGTACAAGGGTTCAACTGTCTCAACTTCCGCTGCACTACTCCAAGTCTCAAGTCTCTACAGCTGGGACTTAGTCTCTGCAAAAGATCCTAAGGGCTTTTCTCAGCCCAACATGGTATGAGAGCTGGTCAGAGACCAAAACTCCCAGCAACTACACTCCATCAACAACCAGCAACTCAACTTGATTCAACAACTCCATTGATTACAAGACATGGACAACAAGGGCAAGAAAGTCTCTACGGGCTCACCCAGCGCCCAAGAAACTCAACACGGCAACTCTGGTCTGCACACCTCAGGACTGCAGACAGAGACCGGGACTACTCAAGAAACAACGGGAAGAGTACCAGAGATGGTGACTCCGTCTCCCTCTTCAAGTGTGGACCCGAATCTCATGGAGAGATTCTTCAGCTTCATGTCACACTTCGACCAGCAGCAGCAGACAAGGACACCTGCGCACTCAACACAGAGCAATGGAGGGAATATGGGATTAGCGCCGATGAGCCTCGACAACTCATCCTTCGGGCGACACAACCAAGCGCCTACCTTTGCGCCTTATCATTCTTCGCCGGGGACGTTCGAATTCATGCCGCCCCGTGCCCAGCCAACAGCAGCTGCATCACAACAAACACCGAATGAAATCTTAAGTTTACAAGCGCAGTTCTCACACGTGATCAAACTTCAGACATCCTCACCGTTCAACGGACACGACTTCTTTACCTGGAGCTTCGAGTTCGAGCTGCTGATGGAGGCCGCGCATCTTCTGGGATACTTCAACGGGTCCCTGCCATTCCCAAGCAACGGCACTGGGAAGGAACAAGAGATCTTCACATATCAGTCGCTGCTGGCGTACACGGTACTCCTGAGAAACCTGTCACCACAAGAGCAGCAGAGCATCAGAACGTATCGGAGTTATGGAAACTCCGCGGAGCTAGCATGGCACCACCTCAAGTGCCTTTACCAAGCAAACGACAGCGTGACACAAAGCAGACTCATGCAACAGCTGACAACAATACAGATGAAGACCGGGGAAAAGGCGATGCAGTATATGAGTCGCTGCCAGACCCTCCGCGACCGCCTGCTTCGGTGCGGAGGAACGATCACTGAAGAAAGCTTCGTGACACTTGTCCTCGCCGGGCTCGGGCCAGAATGGAGAACCACACGATCACTTCTTCGAGCCCACGGAAGAATTTCGGAGATGCACCTCTGCGCCGAGCTTCACGCTGAACAACAGGAGATGAATCTGTTCGAGGAAAGACAACCAAGGAAGCAACAGCAGTTAGTCTTCTACACTCAAAGAAGAAATGACAACAACTACAACCGACGCTGCAAGCAAGATCAACGCGACAACCGAGGAATCACCATCGTACCGCCGTTCTGCCACAACTGCCAGACTTCCGGGCACTCCAAAGTCAACTGCAACCGCCCTCGCGTTTACCGTGCAGCAGATCCACAAGTCGCTTCCACTCAAGCAAGTCCTCCAAGGCGCTCTTCAACATCTGCACAACAAACACCCAACATCATCAACTGCATGGTACACATCGACAACTGCGCACCCGGTTCACCACCCACTTACGCACCAGACGAAGAGGAATTCCCGCCGCCGCGCTCGCAAGGACTTCAGGTCAACCCGACATACGCTGCAGTCGCCAACGCCGAACCCACCGGGCGAAACACCTGGTTCTTGGACAGCTGCTGCGGTCAACACATGTGCTCCTCGGGACGCTTCGTGCAACAGGAGAAACGACTCAACCGCGACGTCGTCATCACAGTCGCCAACAACGAAAACCTGAAGACAAACAGACAAGGCGTGGTTCAGTTACAATCCATGGAAACAAACGTAATACTGCAGCTCAACAAAGTGCTCATTGTCGACAACCTGGGATACAATCTACTAAGCGTAAGCCAACTAATGGCCAAAGGGATTCACCTGGAGTGCGACTCTTACTCCAACGAGTTCCGGCTTTACCACGGGAAGGGCGGCCTCTTCATCGGTCGTGCCCTCCTGAAGTCCGGTGTCTTCGTGTTGGACTTCGTCCCCGACCGCGGAACTGCCGACAGCGATGGCATCGTATCGTTCGCCGCCTGGACTCACCCGCCAGATCTTGATCCCGACTTCGACAGTGACGGCTTCTGGCACTCCAACACCATACCTGCAGCAGAGAGAACACGAGCATTAGCAGTTATCAGACAAGAAAGACAAGTACCCGCAAGTGTCCCAACAAAACCATCACCTGCAGTATCGGCAGCAGGACCCAGCCGAATACCACCACCATCAACACGAGGACCGCCAACGGAAGCAGACCAACTTATGCCCGCCACACGAGAAGCTTGTCGAAGTCCCGCCTCGGTCGTCGCGTTCTTCTCCAACGCCGACATCTACCACCGCTCTCCCGGTCACCGTGCTCCCGACGACATCTGGCACCAACGCCTCGGACACCCTGCAAACAGCACAATACTTCAAACAATCCAAGCAGAGGTGTTAGAACGCAACGCCCTTCTGACGACGAGCGGTCAAGAACTTCGACGACCACGCGCACGGTGCTTCACATGCCCCGAAGCAGATCTTCCTCATCAACCTTTTCCATCCCATCACAACCCAAGCGCACCTACTTACGCTCCGATGGAAAAAGTCTACGGCGATATTTTAAACATGCCTCGAGACGACGCCGAAGCCGACTTTAACTACGTCATCACTTTCATCGACGCCGCAACCAGATATGTCTGGCACTTCAATCTCAAAACGCGCGACCAAGCCTTCGAAGCCTTCACAACATGGCTCCCCATCGCCGAACGAGAATCAGGACTCAAACTCAAGAGCTTCCAGTCAGACGGTGCACTGGAATACCAGTCACAATGCTTCAGGACCTATCTGGCGGAAAGGGGAATCAGACGCCTGGTGTCCCTGCCCTATGCTCACCAACAGCAGGGGGTAGCAGAACGCATGAATCGGACCTTGCAGACGACGATGCGAAAACTGCTTCAGGGGATGCGACTGCCAACCACACTGTGGCCAGACGCGATGACACATGCTGTTCATCTACACAACCTGCTGTCCTCGTCATCACTTCCCAACAACGCATCACCGCACCTGTTGTGGACAAGAAAAAGGGGCAGTACAAAATTACTCAGAGTCTTTGGCTGCATGGTACAGTACAAACCCCACACAGCCCGAGCAGGACGCTTCACACAACGAGCTCGGTGGGGACTCCACCTCGGCATCGCGAAACATTTTCACGCGTGGAAAATTCTCGACATACAAGACAAAAACACAGTGGCATCACGAGACGTTATCTTCTACGAACGACTGACTCTGCAGCATTACCTGGACAACCTTGCCAACACACAAGACCCCACCGACGGCCTCTCGGGACTTCGTTCCTTCGCCGATCGTGCTGCCGAAGCTGACGCAGCAGAAGAAGACGTACCTGGAGCCTCCGAAGCTGCCGGGCCACTCCCATTCTGTTCCGTACCTGTTCCACTAGATGAAGATAATCCCCTCGATAGCAACAACCTCGACACCTTTTACCACTTCGCCGACCAAGGTTACGCTACACCTCACCCCGTCGACACGAATATTTCGGAACGCATCGGCCCCAATTTCTTACCTGACCCCGAAGACGGTGACGAAGCAGCTTATTCCGGGAATGACAATTCCCCTCGACACACACCCACGGGACTCCAGATTCTAGGCCTCTGGGTCTCCGTCCAGCATCCCGCCGCCGCCTTCTACGCGTGAGCCTTCAACATTGTCGCAGGCTCTGGGGGGGGAACATAAGGTAAAATGGAAGGAAGCGATGGAAAAAGAGTTAAAAGCTCTGCAAGACCGAGACACATGGAAACTGGTACCTGCAACGAGCATCAACGGGAAGAACGTTCTCTCGGGGAAATGGGTGTACCGCATCAAGACCAACTCAGACGGCTCCATCGAACGA